CTGGGAATGGCACTGGGTTCCTGCAGAGCTTCCTGCTTACTCTGCCATGGGGAAAAGTAATTTGCAAGATATTTGTGGCTGGCCCTTTGGACAGAGGAAAGCTTGGTTTTGCATTTGCTCTTATGCTCTGGGAATGGCACTGGGTTCCTGCAGAGCTTCCTGCTTACTCTGCTATGGGGAAAAGTAATTTGCAAGGTATTTGTGGCTGGCCCTTTGGACAGAGGAAAGCTTGGTTTTGCATTTGAAGGAGGGGGATCTCCAGGTCACAGCTGCTGCATTCCCAGGACACCCAGAACCATGATTTCATAGATTTTATAGACATTAGGGTTGGAAGGGACCTCGGAAGATCATTGAGTCCAGCCCCCCGCCCAAAGGGCAGGAAGTCAGCGGGGGTCATAGGATCCCAGCAAGATAAGCATTCAATTTGCTCTTGAAGGTGTTCAGAGTAGGTGTTTGAACCACCTCTGATGATGTGGGGAGCTGTAATGCAGCTTGCACAAACAGGGGGAGTCATCTTGCTTCCCCCCATGGCTGCAGAGGGCAGAGATAGGCAAGCCATGTCAGGCATGCCACAAGTGGCACAGGCATGCAGCATGCATGTACATGCATGCAGCAGAGAAAGGAGGGGGGAAGGAATATAGCTGCTGATAAGGCAGGGAGCAGAAATCAGAGCAACAGATTGGGCAGGGAGTACATGACAGGGAGCAGAAAGCAGAACAAGTCTGGGAAGGGAGCAGAAAGCAGAGCAGCAGATTGGGTGAGGGAAGGGGATCAAAGTGGTACTTGGAGAGGGTGCAGGACTTCATCTGTGACTTGCTTGCCCCAAAAGGTTGGCTGCCACCAATATAGGGCATGATCTAGCAATGTAGGGCGGGGTATCATGTACAGAGCCTCCATTATAAACGTGTTACTTGCTTTTCTGCAAATCTAAACCTCAATGTACATGCAGGTGCATTGGTATAACTACAGGTGTGACTTCACACCAGTTTAATTAATTGATGCAGCTTTGTGTGTGGACACTGCTATATTGATTCAAGGGTGTAGTGCTGGCAATTGCAGGACTAGCTTTAAACAGAAAAAAAAAGCAAGGGATCTTAAAAATAATGAATCTGGGGATCTTTCTATTTTTCTTCTGGTTTCTGAGCCTTCTGCTCAGGTAACACTTATGAGCTTCTCTCCATAACCACAAGAGTGCTTGTTTTTTGTTTTTGTTTTAAGCAATAACGGGCATTCTCCTAAAAATTACCTGGCTCCAGAAAAATAACCCTAATCCCAGGAGTTGGGACCAGGACTTGGCTTGCAGCAGCATCCAAACCAACTGGTGTGAGTCGATACACAAGCTGCACAGAGACAAGTACAAGCCCTGGGCAGTTTAGTTCTCTTCCTTTTCACTCTGCTAGGTGGTGGGGTCCCATGCTCTGACTGCTTCTCCCTTTCTGTCTCATCCTGCAGCAGCCAGCAGAGCAGCCAGCAAAGCAGCCACGATGACGACTCGTCCCGGTTCCTGAGTCCCCGCATGCGTGACGAGAGGTAGGTCCCTCCAGGATAAGGGAGCTGGGGCAATGTATGTAACCCCTCAGGAAGGGGCTGTGGGCCCAGCCCAAGCCTGTTTTGGGGATTATGGTGGTTGTTTTCCCCCTGCTTTTTCATGTTCATCATCAGGAAAAGGGTAGCTCAACTCTTCAGAAGGGTCTTCTGGCTATCTATATCTATATCTATATATCGATATCTATATCTATATCTATCTATCTATCTATCTATCTATCTATCTATATATATATATATATATAGGTTCTTTTAAAGATGCATATTCTCATATTCTACTTAGAAATCTCACATGTGCACTCCAGAGGTCTAAACTCCAGGGGATATGCTGGCACCAGGAAGGCAAAGTTGCCAGGGTATCTTCTGCAACCACTTCTCGTCATGGACAATGCCTTAATTGTTGGACACGTTCCAGTGCATACTTTGCTTTGGGACTTTGTTAATTTAAACCTGACACTAGAAACCCTAATTTTAGTGGAAACACAAAAGGAAGGGACTACCTTCAGAGATAAGAAAGGTAAGAACAAGTAGCATATTAATTGCAGGTCACACTGTAAACTCAGGTAACATCGGCAATTCACGTTGCATGCTGCCTGCACTGAACCTTGCAGACACCAGTGAAAGCACATAGCAGCAGTGCCTCCATGCAGCATGCAACACTGTTCATCAGATACAGGTATCAACAGATCCTCTTCACTTGACAAAACAGTAGTATATCCACAAATGTATTGTTGATATAATGTGAGCAGGACTGAGCTCTCGCTGCAGAGCAGGGAATCTCAAGATGTCTGAAATGCGGGCGCAGTGTGCAACACAGGAAAGAAGGCAGAATTTTAAATGAGGAGAAGAGTTTGGATGGGACATGTCTGTATGGGCATTTCATAGTAAAGGATCGATTACATTCTTGGAATGAGAGTGGCATGGTAGGTCAGGATGAAGTACTGGAAAAGAGAATGACAGGTGTTGGAAACAGAAAATGGTGAATAAGAGAGGTGTTTCTGAAGGGGAAGTCAGGAGGAGATATCTGTCAAAGAGCTCTGTCCTTCACTGTCTAGTTTGCTTGGCTTGCTTTGACACAGACTGTTGTCGTGGATTAAGTATCATGGTTGTCAAGGAAGTACTGTACATTGGTTGCTTTCTGTCTAAAATGCAAATCACTGTCACATACCTTGCCAGAAATGCAGGCTTTCCAAGGCAGAACAGTCCATTGGACAGGCTACAGAGCTAGAGGGTCTGGTGACCTGCATTCGGTTCCTAAATGTGGCATCAGACAAGCCCCTCTCTGTGCCTCAGTTTCCCAATGGAAATGCTTGACTAATGATGCTTATTCTCTGCCTTAAAGCACTGAAAGATCCTTGAGAGATCACAAATCCAAAATATCATTGATGTTGGTATTTTTTAAAGGGTTTGATTGGGTAAATTATTAATTGTGGAACTGGCTTTTAGCTGAAGTTATCATCACTTTCTGTTGCATCTACCAGAAAAAGCCATCCCAAGGAGCTTGCCAGTCTCCCTGGTACTTAGTGTGATTTTAAGGCAATTCATTCATTCCTTTAGCATATGGACCAGAGAGGTTCTGAAAAGTAACAGTGTCACCACTGCCTTCAAAATGAGTCCAAGGTGCTGTAGAGACATTAGCTGATTAATCCTCAACGAGGCCCTGCAGTAGGGAAATACCATTCATTAAATTTACATGTAGGAGGACTGAAGTACGAGGAGGCAAATACCCAAGGCCACTGACCGAGTGTGCCAGTGACAGCGATGGGATTAGACACCCAGGGGCTCCAGCCATCAGTTCCATTCCAGTAACCTGTGGGCCCATTTCTTATTAACGTTAAGGCCCTTTTATGCTGGGAGTGGTGGCAAATCATAAAGGACACATGAGGACTGGATCTATTCCAAGCCCTAGAGATGTCTGATAACTCTGGCGCAGCTCCACCATGCCTGGACTTGGGGTTACTCACTTTTGGCTGTACCTGGCTCTAGTCAATAGCCGCACTAACAACTGTACACTGGGAAGAAATTTGTTGGCATGGGAGTGGCTTTTGGAAACCAAACTCTTTGTTATGCTCTTTGCAAGTCAAATCTGTGAATTTGCTTTCCCTGCATTTTAGATGCTGCACCTTCACCCTTTGCAAACATCTCTGTTAACTGATCATTAGGTCCTCTGTCCCCTAAAACAGTCAACCCCCATCTTGGATGTCTGTATGGCTAGGAGCCTCTGCAGGACTAACCCTGAGAACAGCTCGTGATTGACCTATTCATAGATCCATAGAAAAATGAGAGTTGGACGGAACCTCAGGAGGTATCTATTTCAGTGGTTCTCAACCTTTTTTGTACCAGCTGTAAACACCGATGGCCAGTCCCAACTCAGTGCCGCTCACTTTCAACCCCCTGCCTTCAGCCCCCCAGTACGTGGGGCAGGGGATGCGTGTGTGGGGCAGGGGGGTCTGTCTGTGAGGAACAGGGGTCCCCAAGCAGCCCTTTGCAAGCAGGAGCTCTGCCAGCCCACAAGGGAAAAGTCACAGTTTCCCATGCTTTTCTCCTTTAAAGGAGAACCCATTTTTAAAGTTTGTTCACAACCTTTTCATATATTCTTGCAGCCTACTTTTGGGTCATGACCCATGGGTTGAAAAACACTGATCTAGTCCATCCCCCTGCTCAAAGCAGGACCAGCCCCAGCTAGATCATCCCAGTCAGGGCTTTGTCTAGCTGGGTCTTAAAAACCTCCAAGGATGGAGACTGCACCACCTCTGGGTAACCTGCTCCAGTGTTTTACTATCCTCCCCATGAGAGAGTTTTTCCTGATATCTCTAACCTAAGCTTTCCTTGCTGCAATGTGAGCCCATTGCTCCTTATTCTGTCGTCTGCCACCAGTGAAAACAGTCCAGCTGTATCCTCGTTGGGACCACCCTGCAGGTAGTTGAAGCATGTTTGCCTAATGTTTTGCCCAATGTGTTTAGGACAGTTCTTGGATATCCAGGGCAGTTATCTGGTAGGTTGGCAGAGACTGCTGTGAATTTCCAGAACCAAGTCTAAATTAATATATATTCTCCTTGGGGGGTTGATCTGTTTTCACTTCAAAACTGCAGCATTGGCACAAAAGGGGCTGAAAAGTGAATGCTGATTTTTGCATGTGATTCATTATCATTGTTTTGCCCAGAGCAGCAGGACTAGTATTAAATATCCTGATTGATCTATTGGACCAGACACAGCCCATTTTTTCCAGTGCATGTGAAGAAACACGGGGTGTTCCTGCAGCCCCTTTATGTTGTTCAGTGCTCATCCTTTGACATGATTTATATGGTATCATTTAAGCTTATGCTACATCTGAGCTTTGGTTTCTTGCGTTGAACCAGTCCTGTTAGTCTGCTACTATAAGTCAGCTCTGAAGTCAGGCAGTGTGGATGGAGGCTTTTACTCTTCCCAAGAGTCAAGAGCTTTGGCCAAAACCAAACTGTGCTGACTTGGTCATTGAACCCAGGCCCAGTCCTGACAGAGGACCACTCCATCCCCACAGTGCTGCAAATTCTGTCCCTGTCCCCTTCATAAACTACTTTCTGCGCTGCCTGTCAGCTATATACCAGCCAATAATTCTCAAGTCACAATCAGCGAGCATATTTGTGGAGCTGCAATTCACTTGGCTTACACTGGATTTTGACTGCAACCTGCAGGGACAATAAGCGACTGCGCACACCCTGAATTGGTAGTTAATTGTCCATTCTTCTTTGCTTTTGTTGCTGCATGTAATGTGAGATGGCTTAGCACTTTTGCAAGGGGTGACTGTGCAAGGCTTTTTGCACTCTCCCTGCTCTGCTCCTAGTGGAATAGGGTGCATAGCTCTTTAAGATACAGCTGGGGTTAAAAGCCTTCTGATGGCAGGAATACTTCTTTCCTAGGGTGAGCTGAGGGCACCTCCTCCCAGCTGGGCTTCCTCTTGCTGCATCACAAGTCCAGCTTATTCAGTGTTGACTAAGGCAAGCTCCCACTAAAATTGCCTTCCCCATAATGAAGTTAATGGGAGATGGAATGAGTAACAGCTTTGCAAAGACCTGAGGATCTGAATCTCAAGAGAGGATAAGCCAACCCCCGAGAGCTAATTAATAACCCAGCAGAGGGCTTGGCTCAGAATTAGCACTTAGTAGTTGTAGCTAACCTTTTTCTCCATATGTTTCACTCCAATTATCAGTCTCACTGGTGCTGTTGATCCTGGGATAATTGACTAGCTGAGAGCAATGCATACTACTAGGTCAGAGGGAAGCTGACAGCAGAACAGATGGGTGCTGAGATCATACCTGGGTTCTGTCTGGCTAACACATGAGAGCATCACCTTAGCCTGGGATTGCAAAACTAAACAAGGTGAGGCCTGAGAAGTACCTAGATTGGAGTCCTCTGGGCAGAGGAAGAAGCGATTCAGCGGGCAGTTCTGTTCTCCACAAGTCTGGACTGAACCAGAGTGCTGCCATGGTCCTGCCCCGTCTGGCTGGAGCTGCTAGGATACTTGTGTGTTATATCTGACCATTTATAATCAGCATTAAAGGTGTTGAGACTGTTTCTACAGTCAGGATGGTCCTGAACTTACTGACCTGTCTCTCTTATCGGCTGATCTACAGTATTGCTTCGGCTTATGTTTAATGCCAAGCAGGTTTTTTGTTCCTTTCATTGAAAAGGCAAATATTTAACATAACCCAAATCCAGGGCTGGAAAACTGCCTTAGAATCATAGAAAAAGAGGGTAGAAGGGACCTCAGGAGGTCACATCTAGTCCAACCCCCTGCTCAAAGCAGGACCAGCCCCAACTATGTCATCATAACCATCAAAGCCTTTTGTGTGTCCGGGCCTTAAAAACCTCCAAAGATGGGGACTCCACCACCTCTGGGTAACCTGTTCCACTGCTTTACTAGCCACCTGGTGAGAGTTTTCCTTAATATCTAGCTTAAACTTCCCTTGCTGCAACTTGAGGCCATTGGTCCTTGATCTGTCATC